CCTCTTGATGAAAGTGAAAAAGGAGAGTGAAAAAGTTGGCTCAAAGCTCAACATTCATAAAATTAAGATCATGGCATCCAGTCCTATCACTTCATGGCAGATAGATGGGGAAACAGTGGAAACAGTAGCTGACTTTATTTTTCTGGGCTCCCAAATCACTGCAAGTGGTGATTGCAGCAATGAAATTAAAAGACATTTACTCCTTGGAAGAAAAGTTATGACCAACCTAGACAGCATATTAAAAAGCAGAGACATTACTTTGCCAACAAAGGTCTGTCTAGTCAAGGCTATGGATTTTCCAGTGGTCATGTATGGATGTGAGAGTTGGACTATAAAGAGGGCTGAGCTCCAAAGAATTGATGCTTTTGAACTGTGGTGTTGGAGAAGACTCTTGAGAGTCTCTTGGACTGCAAGGACATCCAACTAGCCCATCCTAAAGGAGATCAGTCCTGGGTGTTCCTTGGAATTATTGATGTTGAAGCTGAAACTCCAATACTTTGGCCACCTGATGCAAAGAGCTGACTCATGTGCAAAGACCCTGATGCTGGGAAAGATTGAGGGCAGGAGGAGAAGGGGACAACAGAGGATGAGATGGTTGGATGGCCTCATTGACTTGATGGACATGGGTTTGGGTGGACTCCGGGAGTTGGTGATGGACAGGGAGGCCTGGCGTGCTGCGCTTCATGGGGTCGCAAAGAGTCAGACACGACTGAGTGACTGAACTGAACTGAAACTTTGAGGATCTCATTTCTTGGTCAGCAAGCTAAGAGTGAGGCATCTGGTGCTGATTTTAGTACGTTTCACTAATTTTAGGTTCACTTAGGACACTACTTAATTAAAGCAATCATAGAAGGGCTCTCATGGGTCATATTTTATCTCTGTTTGCTCAGCTGCCTTGTTGATAGTAGATTTGGAAGTTCCTCCACCAGTGCTTCCTGTTGGGCTGTTTTCAGTGGTACTCTTTCATCTGCAACTTTTAAGGGCGTATAAATTCTCTCAAATTTTGGCTGAAGGAAGGAAAGGAAGCTTTAAAACACTGACTGTGAATCCTGAGAGAAATCACTTCCTTATACTTTCTTATTATGGCTCTAAGGCTGTGGTGTCCCAGGAGGCAAACATGGACAACTCTTGGCAAAAGCTGTAAAGGTGCATGTTAGAAACAAACGCCTCTTAGAGTTATCCAGCACTGGATCTCTAACTTCTCTGGACAACATCCTAGATAACACTATTTCCAAGTGTTTTGAACATTCATGATTTAGAGAGACACCGTAGTATAGTATTTTAGTTAAATTAAAAAAATTTTGGCACTCGTAGACCCAAAAAGCAGTGACCTCCTACCATACTGTGTACCCTGTATGAGTTCATGTTGATGAAAGAACCTTTACCTGTTATTTTGATGAATGATGTTTCCAGATCCTATTACATCATTGTTGGGCCACAAGTAGAAAAGTGAGAACAAATGGGAATAAATTATAAAAATATGTATACAGAAGCTTCTGGGGGGCATTTTGAGTCTTTTCCCTTTAAACCCCTGAGCATCCCAGCTTGTACCATATAAAAACCTAGATGCCAATATTTCTTCTTTTTTCCTTTGTGGAATGTCATGGTTCTTGAATTGATAATGGCCATGATTTAAATGTTCTTGGTTTCCATGAGTATCTTGCAGTAGGATTTAAAAAATATTTTTTATGGAGTTATTTTTGGGATGATTCTGCAGTTTTTTGTATGCTTAAGTATTCATTGGTCTGAAACCAAAACAAGATTCTCTAGGGATTTGCATCATTACAAAAAAAAATTCTCTAGGGATATGCATCATTTCAAACCCTAAGAAGAGAGTGAACAGATAGGTAGATTTCATGTATAACATCTATTGAGTTAAATAAGGTGCCATTAGTTTTGCCAACTGGAGAGGAACCATTGACTTTGTCAAAAAGATGTAATTCTTGGGTGTTTTTAAGGGTGTTTATAAAATCCAATAAAACATAGCTTCCAACTTTGGGCTGAGAATTCTCTTGCTAGATTTTTAGCCATTATGCAACTGGCAAGAGGCAAGCAGAGAATGCTTTCTTTGTGCTGGAGCTAGAATAATGCAGAAAGCCACAGACCTTGGGCAAATTACTTCTCAAAGTGTGTAGACAGGTCTGCCTTTAATTATGTCTGTCCTGATGGAGTGAGCTACATTGTTTTTATAGCAAGGGTGATTTAAAAAATATTCCTTGTGAAAATATTATACAAAATATTTTAGTTTTAGTTCTTTTTAAAATAAGATTTTTTGATCCAAGGGATGTGAGCAGCAGGGGATCAACCTTTCCTTTGAATACAGGGTTACAATAGTAGTGCTTCTTAAACTATATTTAAAATTGGTATGTTGATATGAGTGCTAAGACTATTATGAAAAGACTTGAGAAGAAGCAGCATGAAAGCAAGAGTGACAGACAAAGAGAAGGAAAACAAAGGGTTGTCCCATTGTCATTAGCTCACTTCTGCATTATCATCCATGGGTTTACACACATTGTCAGAGTATAGTTGGGAGTCTGCTTTCTGTGTATTTTTATATCAAGGTGTCAACATGCTTTACATTCAGACAAAATACCTGTAGGAATCTTACTGAATATGTGCAATCTGTCTGAGCTGCAGGTTGCCAGAGTTATGTGATATCCAAATCCAAGAATTTTTCATGGACCTTTTTTCCTTGTCTCTTAGGACTACACAAGACCTGGCCTCTGGTTTGAGTCCATTCTAGTTACCACAGATGTGCTCTGTGCCTGAGCTTTTACCCTCATTCCCAGATGGGGAATTCCACTGGCTTGGCCGTCCACACCCTCACTGCATGATGTGCGGGTGCTGAGTGGCTTAATTCCAGATCCATGCTGCCACTGCATTCAGAGGTCTGGCAATTCCCAAGGGTGCTACCCTGGATAAAATACAGAATTCTGCTTCTTATGGAAACCACCACTTAACCATCCTTTTAAACTCAAGGAAACCAACTGTCTCCTGGAGTAAGATCAGACCTCCCTTTGACCTCAAAGTCCAAGATCTCTACCAACCACTAATAGGGCAATTTACTTTCTTACTACTCTAGGCCTGAACTCACAACATATTAACACCTACCTGGGCAAGAGATCCCAGCATTCATGAAAAAGAGACCAGGTATTATTTCTATTTGAGGAAATGACCTTTTCATGCTTTTGCTAGTAAGTCCATTTAGCAGTGGGGGAAATTCATTAAGATTTTGTTTTATATTTTGCCATTTATTAATGGCTGTAGATCATCACAGATATAAGAAGATGATAATGTGGTTGCAACTGCAATTCTGGATGGTATATCTTCACTGAAGCAAGAAATGAGCATAGTCCCCTGCCTGGTACATAGCTGTTGACCTAGTAAATGCTTTTTGGCATCTCTCAGCTAAATTCGTAAGGTGTACTTTGCTTTCTAGTAGCAGGGATGAGAGAAGACTGACTTGCCTAAAGGCTAGCTAATCTCTGTCAGCCCACTTCAGTCCTCTTATAATGTGGTTCAGGGGGAACACAATCATCTTGATACTCTATAGCATGTGATGCTAGTGCATTAAGTTGATGAAATTATGCTTATTGGACCTAGTGAACACGAACTGTGAAGCATCTACGTGCCTTCTTAAAAGAGATGTGTGTCAGAGGGAGAGTGAAAAACTGCTGATTTCAAGGACCTGTCATGTAGGTGGAGTTTCTTAGGTATCAGTCATCTTGGATGTATTGGGATAGCCCTTCTAAACTGAGATGTAAGTCCTTGCGCCTTACATGGTTCACTCTGAAGAACAGTTACCTCTTTGTGAACCTCTTTGGATTTGGGAGATCACATATACCACATGTGGAGATGCTGGTCTTACACCATTTATCGGAAAATGTGTAATGCTGCCAGTTTTGAGCAGAGCTTGGAGTAAGAAAAACAAAAAAGGCTATTTGGCAAGACTGTGTTGCTCATACTTGTGACATGTTAGACCTGATGGTGTTAAGCATTTGTTTCAGGCAGAGGTGTACAGAGCTTCCTTCAGGCTCACAGTGCAGACCCTTATGTGGTTGGAAAACTTGACCTCTTCTGACAACTATTCTCCCCTTGAAAAATATCTTTTAACTTGCTACTGGGCATGGTAAAGACTGAACACCTGATCTTTGAATGTAAGTGAAAATGTGACCCAAACTGCTCTTTGTGAACTGCGTGTTTAGATAACATTGCACCTAATCCATTGCACCATAATGTAGACATGTACATACCATTCCAATATAAAATGAAAATGGAACATGTGAGACAGGGCCAAGTAGAGTCAGAAAGCGTAAATAAATGGCATGAATGAATAGCTTAGACTCCCATGGTCACTGCTCCTACTGCTTTCCTGCCACTCTCTCAAATGACACCTACAGTCTCATGGAGAGCTCTCTGTGGCCAGCTGAAAGTGGATAAAAGAGGATGATTTGTGAATGCATAGTATGTGGGCATCAAACAGAAATGGATAGTCACCATGTATAGCTTCACTTAGGAGTGGCACTGAAAGACAGCAATGAAAGACAGTATTTTCAATGGGCAGAACTGTAAGCAGTCATGTGATTGTCTGGTTAATATGGAAGGAGAGATAGCCTGCAGTATGAATTTATATAAACTAGATAGGCCAGCAGTTAAGGCTTTGGGAAGTAAAACATAGGAATGTTGGTGACAAGGTCTGGAGAGAGGTATATGGATAGGCCTTTCAGCATAGCAGAGGTGGGGGGATATTTGTGTTCCATGTAAAGGTCCACTAGAGGGTATCATACTGGTGAATGAATGCTTTTAAAAATTAAGAGAATAAGATGATAACTCCTCAGGATGTCAGTCAGCCTCTTTCCCTTAACATTTATATGATTGGTCAATGGAGATATATTAAGTAGATATGATGGCAGGAATGGAGACTATGTGTAGGCTCACCAACAGGGGTACGCTCAAATCATGACTGATTTGTCGAGGGCATCACTGTGTGTCCAGTTCACCTGTACCAAAGGCCATTGGCTTGCTCTCGATACCATTCATGGTGTTCATGTTAGTCTCCTGGAATCGTGGGATGGCATCTGAAGGCTCACTTTGGGCACCATCAGGAGTAAAATCCTAAGAGGTGATGATGCTATGTACAAGATTCAGTAAACACCTTAAACCAGGTCCAGTATAAGGTACTATCTTCCATGTATCCATGTATCTGGGAGTTGGAGTTGAGAATGGACTTTCCAACTATTACACCAAATGTATAATTTGGGGTATTTTTTCTTCCCATCTGTTCACCCTTGGTCTGAGTGGGTTTATAGTACTGGAGGGAGGGATGCATCCATGAAGGAATTCAATAATAATTCCATTGAATTAGAAATGAGTCTTCCCTCTGGCCATTTTAGACTACTAAAGCAATAGATAGAGCAGAGGTTATTGTACTCTCAGTGGTGATGATCCTGATTATCAAGCGGAAATTGAGTAATTGCTATTCAGTTCAGGGTGATGAGAACTATTTCTGGAACCCAAGTGGACTCTTAGCTACTTAGGACTCTATTACCCCCATGACCCTTGGCAATAGAAAACTGTGGCAATATGAGAAAGACAGGACCTCTAAAGGACCCAGGTCCTGTAGGGCTAAAGATTTGACTCAAGTTATTAGGTTAAGAATCCATCCAACCAATGTGCTTTCAGAAGACAGGGAAAACATGGACTGGGGATTGGAAGAAAGTCACTGTGTTAACAATTTAGATCTAGTGACCAGTTACAGAAGCAGATTGTAACATCTTTGCCTTGTAGTAATTGTTTCTTTTCTGCATGTTTCCGCCCACTCATTTTATGAAGAACACTGTTTGTGGTTACCATTTTAAGTTGCATGTGGTGTCATGACTGAATTGACCTCGAAGGGATGGTAACTGATTGGGATTACAAGTTTTTCACCTAGGCAGAGGACAGGAGTGAATGCTGAGGCAAGAAGAGTGGAGAGTGCTAGGTACTTCCTGCTGCTTCTCCATCCTCACGCATTGTTCTCTGTGTGGATGTTCATCAATGGACTTCTTTACTTCTGACTCCTGAATGGGTTGAGCCAGGAAGATGCAGAGTATCATGAGATGGTGGCTTCTTTCCTTTGTGATCTTTCAAGTTGTCTGTGTCCATTTCTTGAAGTTCTTTTCAGTTGACATTCTCCATGTAACTACCTTCTCTGGGTTTGGATAGCCAGTCCTTTTAGACTTTGGTCTTCCTTGTTAAGAGCACACAGGTACTGAACTAGAAATATTTCTGGGTTGGTCCCTAAAACTGACTGATGGCAAATGGTCTCTTAAAAATTCTCCTCAGCTTACCTGGTCTCAGTATGTCCTCCTGGAACCCTGACTGATTCACATACAATACTTCATCTAATCTTTATAAACATGCTATGACATAAGTTGGATGCATCCTGTCACTTCTGTCTTTGGAACATTCCAGTGGCTTTTTGTTGTGCTTGAAATAAAATCCAAATAGCATGACTTGCAAAGCCATCCCTGATCTGGTTTCTGCCTCCTTCTCCAAGACTGTTCACTGCTCTTTCTCCTGAGAGTTTCATCTCAAATATCTGCCTGCCTGTCATTCAAATTTCAATTTAAATGTCATCTCTTCAGAGGGTCTTTCCCTAACCATTCAATTAAAAGTAGTCATCCAGGTATTATCACATTATCCTATATTAACTCTTCTTACAGAACTTATCACTAGCTTATATTTTCTTATTTATTTTTATGAAATCTATTTATCCCCTCTCTCTCTTTCTCCCTCCTCTGGCCCCTCCTCCTTTCTAAAATGTAAATACCCTGAGAACTGGCTTTTAATGATTGTTGATATTGAGTAAAAAATCAGGGATTAATTCTGTTCTATTGATAACGTAACAGAAGTTCAGAGGTTTTAAATTCCTCAAGGATTCACAATTACTGGTGGCAGAATCAGCACCTGTGACTTCTGATATCCACATGCCAGGGTCCGTTCCCCACTTGATTTACTGAACACAACAATGCAATGAGCTACTCAACCATAAAAAAGAATGAAATAATGCCATTTGCAGCAACATGGTTGCAAATACAGATTATCACAATAAGTGAAATAAGTCAGACAGAGAAAAACAAATATCACATGATATCACTTACGTGTAGAATCTAACGTTTGACAAATGAACTTATCTATGAAACAAAAACAGAATCTGTAAGCTTTTATATATAGAATGGCTAAACAACAAGGCTGTACTGTATAGCACAATATCAATATACTATGATAAACCATAATGGAAAAAATATTTTTAAAAGAATATATATTTAACTGAATCACTTCGCTGTATGGCAGAAATTAATACAACATTGTAAATCAGTTATACTTCAATAAAAAAATTCTGATGGAAAAAAAAAAAGCCATGGAAGACAGAATGCCATGAGAGGGGCTAGTGAGCACATTCTCAACTAATCAGATCCAAAACTCCTGGAAAAATAATTCTGGGTCTCTTATCTTCTTAGCCCAAAATGGGCTCGGAAATGAATTGCTTCCGGATATTGAATTACAGTTTCTCTCCAAACATTCTGCTAAGCAATTCAGTAAGATATTAGAAGTGTTCCATAATTTAGTGGCCAAAATAACTTTGCTAATGCTGAGTTAAGCCCATTTCTTTACTGTCGGAATTACTAGAGACTTTAATATGTACGTTGTGAATTTCCAGAAGGTGGATATACAGCTACCCAAATTGATCAGCATAGAAAATACTTTTATGAGAATCCTGTCAACATCTTTATAAAGCATGCATTTCCTGGAACACAGTGGGTAAACATGAAGTTAAACCTTCAGTGATAGAGATCATGTTGGCAGAACAGTTTCGTTATACAGATAAATTTGTTAAAGAATTATTTTGTGTTTAGAGAAGGAAGAATATATTTATATTGGCATCTTCTAAATTTTGTTCTGATGTGTGGTTTATTCAGTTTCATGAAGGTTTTTTTTTTCCAAGTAAGTGTCTGCCAAATTTTTATTTCTCTGGTCAGACCACATATTATTTCTGATAGCCTAACTATTCTGGTAAAAGTGTTGAAACATTTTTATGTCTATTATGGCTGTCTTCTATCCAGATCCAGACAATTTCTAAAGCAGTTTGTTAGTCGGTTGTCTACCTCCAATACAGTCTGCACTGCTGTAGTTTGTAGTCTGTTCTGCAATATGAGTTATGTTTCTAGGAAGACTCAAGATATTTTAAAAAATGAAAAATGCAGAGGTTTCAATGAGGAAAAGGGATTTGGGACTAGAATACATAAGAACAGCGAGAATAAAGTTGTTTTTCCACCCAGAAATTTTAGTAATAAAGTGTTTTCCAAACTATAAAGGAAAAACCGTTATTGAATGCTAAATAAGTTGGCTTATAAAAACGGACACAATATTGCAAAGCAATTATCCTCCAGTTAAAAATAAATAAATTTAAAGAAAAACAGACAGAAACAGAAACCAGAGTTAGAGGCATCTTCCTTACCTTTTCATCTATCTAAGCAGAAGCCTCTCAGTTTTCTCTGTTATCTCTAACTTTGTTTTGTTTTTCTTTTAACCAAATACTTACAAATTTTATTATTCACTTAGCAATTATAATCTAGGAAATACAGGATTATATGAAGCAAAATTATATACCCTTTAATGCCATGTCCATCTCAAAAAGATAAAAGGCCTTACTTATTAGTTGTCCATATTTTTCACAGGGGTAATTACTTTAACTCTTTTTTTTTCCATTTATTTTTATTAGTTCGAGGCTAATTACAATATTGTAGTGGTTTTTGCTATACATTGACATGAATCAGCCATGGTTTTACTATCTCTAACTTTGACTTGCTCTTATAATTGTGTTTGCAGCACAGTTTAAAATTAACACAAACAAAAGAATTTTTTTAATGCATGGGTAAAGAACAGGTGAGGAACTGAATAGCATGTCACTTGCATGGTTCTTTATATTTGAACCAAATGCATTCCAGAGGTTCATGCAGTGAGGATATCGAAAGCTCTCGCCAACATTTCTGTGAATTCTCGGGAACTCCTCCATTTCCTGGTCTCCTGTTCTCATGCTCTTGAGAAATAAAATATTGCCTGACATATCAGTAAACAAAGGATGTCACAGTCATCAGCAGTTGCAACCACTGCCAACAGTGAGCTAGTGAGCCCTGAGGGCACTCAGGAAGGAAACACAATACCTGCCATCCAGCAATCAGCAGGCTCCAGCCGCTCCCCACGGTGAGCCCAGAGGAGACTCGGGATGAGAAAACACAGGATACTGGCCCAGAAAGCTGAGGTGAATATCAAAGGAATGACTTCACTGAGCCCAGACTCTTGCATCTTCCCACACGTAGAAAAGCCACTAAATTCCTTCACTTGAGACATCTAGGTTTTTTTTAACAGTAATCTTTAGTTTCTACCTCTTGCCCTTTGTTGCAAAACTCCTATATATTCTAGTTCCCCCCTCACCTCCTCAGAGCAGTTTTCCCAGGGTTATTTGCAATGCTGCCTCTGGGGCTTGAGTCCTCAATATGTCTGCTGACTAAAACATAACTCTCAGCTTTTAGGTTGTAAATATCTTTTAATAAACACTCTGCACTATAACGACCCAGATGTGATATTTAATGCTTTTGTCCATTTATATTTCTTTCCTCTCTACACAACCACATCATTCAATGGCTATAGTAGACTATCAGAGGAGGAAGGAATTGCATACTGTTCCAAATAACAAACAGATTTGTATATTAGATACTTCTGTCTCTTCCTCCCTCCATTTCTCTTTACCTCTCTGGAGTGGCCAGACAGACATCATACATAGACAGTGTACACTCTGTACACAGTGTGCAGATGAAGAACTTAAAGTTTAAGAAATGCCACAATTTTGTAATACGCTGTAAGCTAACCTGCCAGCCACAAACATGGAGGGAGACATTGTCATTATTGTAGTGGACACCAAACATACCTGCGCTCCGCTCTGGAAGGAGACACTGTTTCAGTCTTCCAAATCTGTACACTATAAAAACATCTTGAAAGATAGTATAGAACCAAAAAGCAGTTAATACCTCTGCTCACAAGACTTTCAGAAACACCTGTGGAGGACTTTTCCCAAAAACAATGTCTCAAGTATCTTTTAATATATAAATTCTCCTATCTATTTGGCTCCTGCCCTATCCATCCCCACAACTTATTTGTTGAAGAAACTGGTACACTAGAATGTTAGCAACCTGGAATTTGTTAGTTGAATCTCTGTGGTACCTTTTAACAGTTCTCCAGTGTTTCCTATAAACTGATATAGTCCCGATCAGATTCAGGTTTCCTTTCATGAGAATACTTAATAGGTGGTGGTGTTTGAAGATCCATCACACCCAGATGTGTCCTTTTTGTGATGTTAAATGTCATTGAAGATCATTTATTTTTTAGGGGTTACAAATGGTGATATTGTAATTCTTTGACACTTTTATTAGCTGCAATGCCTCTATAAAAAACTTTCATGAACTCTTGGGTTACTTTGGGATACAGTTCACTTAGAAAAGGGTTGTTAAATGCTTGATTTTTTCCCTTTATTTAATAGCTTTCAAAAATATCAGTTGGTGCCCTAATACCCTCCATAGATAACCAGTGAGTATCATTATATATTCATGAAATTAAACATAGTTGGGATTGCTGTTATTGGTCATATTATTGTTTCGCAGAGCTTATTTGGTAAAAGGTGAATCTAAGATGCAAATGGAAACGCTAAGACGCAGAGTATATACTATTGAACAAAAATGAGGTGAAAGGATTTGCTTTATTGGATAGAAAGATTTACTGTTAGGTGACAAAATTGGATGGGTTTTTTTTTTTTTGTGCAAGAATTGACAATAGACCAATAAGATGATTACAGAGTCCCCAAATAGATGGGACTGTAAACTGGTATGGTCACATTCGGCAACAGTTTGGCATCATCTGCTACAATTGAAGATAAGTATATCATTATGGTTTTCATTTGCATTTCCCTGCTGATTATTGATGTTGGGCATCTTTTCATATGCTTGTTGGCCCACCTATATATCTTCTTTGAGAAATGTCTATTCGAGTCCTTTGCACATTTCAAAATCAGGTTATGTGGTTCTGTTGTTGTTGAGATATCCCTTATCAGATAAATGGTTTTCAGATATTTTTTCTCATTCTGTAGGTCACCTTTTCACTGTGTTGATAGTTTCCTTTTCCATGCTAAAGCTGTTTAGTTTGATGCAGTTCCATTTGTCTCTGTTACTGTTGTTGCCTGTGCCTTCATGTCACAGCTAAGAAATCATTGCAAAGACCAATACCATCAGGTTTTTCTACTGTGTTTTCTCCTAGGGTTTCTATAGTTTCAAGTTTATATTCCATTTTGAATGGATTTTTTGTACACAATATACAGTAAAGATCCAGTTTCATTCTTTTGCATGTGGATATCTAGTTTGCCAACACATTTGTTGAAGAGACTATCCTTCCCTCATATTGTAGTTTTGGCACCCTTATTAAATGTCATTTGAGTATATATGTGAAATTTATTTCTGAGCTCTCTATTACTTTTTCGTCCAGTTTTATTGAGATGTAATTGACACATAACACTGTATAAGTTAAAGATGTACAGCACAATTATTTGACTTACATATATTATGGAGTGATTAACAAGAATAAATTTAGTTAACATCCATCATCTTAAACAGATTAAAAAAAGGAAAAAAATGTATCTTTTCCCTCCTGATGAGACCTCTTAGGATTTAACAACTTTTAAATATACCATACCTGAGCTCTCTATTCTGTTCCATTGGTCTATGTGTCTGTTTTTGTGCCAGGACCACACAGTTTTGATTATTGAAACTTTGTAATATGTTTGAAGTCCAACAATGCAAGGTTCTGACTCTTTTGGGGATTATTTTAGTTACTTAGGGTTCTTTGAGAGTCCATATTTTTCATCATATTTCTGCAAAAAATGTCATTAGCATTTTGGTAGGGATTGTATTGAGTCTGTAAATCAGTTTGAATACTATGAACATTTTTAACAATATTAAGTCTTCTGATCTATGAATTTAGAATGTCTTTCCATTGATTTGTGGGCTTCTTTAATTTCTTTCGGCAATATATTGTAGTTTTCATTATACATGACTTTCACCTTGTTAAATTTATTCTTAAATAGTTTTTTATGCTATTAAAAATAAGATTGTCTTATTAATTTACTTGTCAGATTGTATAGAAATGCAAGTAATTTTTGTGTTGATGTTTTATCCTAAAGCTTTGTTGAATTTGTTTATTAGTCTAACAACTTTGTGTGTGTGTAGTGTCTTTGGGCTTTTCTACAAACAAGCATCTTCCATTCATCTCTGAATGTGGTGATAGTAGGCATCTTGCCTAGTTCCTGATCTTAGAGGAAAAGTTCTCAGTTTTTCACTATTGAATATGATGTTAGTTGTGGGCTTATCATATATGATTATCATTATTTGAGGTAATCTCCTTTTACTCTCAGTTGTTGAATTTTTTTTATCATGAAACCATGTTAACTTTGTCAAGTGCTATTTTTGCATCAGTTGAGATGATCGTGGGATTTTTATCCTTTGTTCTGTTAATATAATGTAGGACATTGATTATTTTTTGTAGATTGAGCCATATTTGCATCCTAAGAATAACACCCACTTAATTATGGTGTATAATCCTTTTAAGGTGAATTTGGTTTACTAAGTATTTTTTTGTTGAGAATTTTTGCACCTATGTGCATCAGGGATATTGATTTATAATTTTTTTATTTTGTAATATCTTTGGCTTTGGTATCAGGGTAATGCTGACCTCATAGAATGAGTTTGTAAGTGTGCCCTCATTTTAAATTCTTTGGAAGAGTTTAAGAAGGATTGGTATTAATTCTTTAAATGTTTGATAGAATTCTACAGTTGAGGCCTTTTGGTCCTGTATCTTTGTTTTTTGGAGAGTTTTGATTACTGGTTAAATCTTACTGATTATAGGTCAGTTCAAATTTTTTTAAAAATTTCTTTCTGATTCTAATAAATTATCCATTTATTTTAAGTTATTCAGTTTGTTGGCACATAATTGTTCATAGTAAATACCCATAATCCTTTTTATTTTTGTAATTACTCTTCTTTTCTTTCTTTTTTTTGTTGAGTCTTTTTCTTCTTTTTTTTTTTTTAGTCTAGCTACAAGTTTGTCAGTTTTGTAGATCTTTTCAAAAAATCAACACTTCGTTTCATAATATTTTACTTCCTGGTTCAGGTGGTGGCTCTATGGGAATTTATTTTGTGATAATTCATTGAATTTTACATTTATATTTCATATATGTTGTATGTGTTAAAGACACAACAAAAAGAAGAGGCTTGAAAAAAAATCAAGTCCCTGCAGGCTCTCTATTCCGTTCCCAGAGATTTGTTCATCCTAGTTGCCCCTCTTCTACGTCTCTTCTTTGCTTCTCATGTCCTCTCTTTCAAACCCCTACAAATAAACATTGGTCTTTCTTTATTACACAGAACGATTTCTCTCTCTCCAGCCACTGCTAATCAAATATGGATAGCCAAACTCATCTAATCAAGGTATTCAGGAATCAAGAATCTTCTAGTTAGCCAGTTTAATCACCTTTTTAGAAGACTATTTTATCCCTACACATGTTAAACAAAGTGTTTCTTGTCATATGAAAAGAAACTTTCTTTGCTTTTTGAGTGATACTTCTGATCACAATTGTGTAGAACTGAATACGCGCCTAAAAATGTGAACCTATTTTAACCAATTTGTCTAATGAGAACTTCTATCATTCAGGAACTGCTATACTTTATTTTAACTGCTTAGTCTTAGACAAGCAATCAAAATCAAGATGAGTAACATAAGCAGAACTTATGAATATGAGTTTAATGTGGGCTTCACATTAATCAGAATTTGTAAGGGAGGGAGAGTTTTATTAATTAGTTACTTAATTAGTAGGCATCAAGAGTGATTTTTTTTCTTTGCAGAATTTCAATGAGCAATGAATGGTTATTAGATGACCTGGAAAGACTGATTCTTTTATTTGTGAGCAGTCTCAGTAGCTCCTTAAGTGGTAGTAACTCAGAACGCGTCAGACATGAATTATTGAATATATTGGATTCCATGTCCTAGTTATGTTGGATTCTGCTATCTCAGTTCACAGCATCAATTCATGGTATTTTAAAGAACTTTCTGAAATCTTTTCATATCATTCTTACTTTCTTGTTGGAATATATGCCCTAGGAGAGCTGGAATATTTTTGTTTGTTCACTGATGCATAGCAACTGTCTAGGACAGTTCCCCACTCAAGGTGCTTGACAATGATTTTAGGGTAGGGGACAACAATGTACGTCTCATAGTATATATGAATGTAATCAGCTTTGCTGCCACAGGTTCAATATTTAACATGATGAGAACAGTTTACTAAAAATTAAAATTGCTAAGTCAAATATGGAAACTGACAATAAAAGTGCATTGGTACTAAATTGTCTTTCAATTGCAACTGTATTGTGGCTAACAGATTTGTGCAAGAGGCTTGGGGAGGCTCTGTGGCTCCTCCTTGGAATCACATGACATGAATGAGGAGAGTAAGTCAGCTGGGTATACAAAACGCCTTTGTCCGTGGACAGCAAATCTGTGACCAGCCTTAAAGCATAGAAGCTACTTGGAAATGTGGACACAGCTCTCCTTGTGTACATGCATGCTAAGTCGCTTCAGTTGAGTCCGACTCTTTGCAACCCCATGGACTGTAGCCCACCAGGCTCCTCTATCCATGCAGTTCTTCAGGCAAGAACACTGGAGTTGGTTGCCATTTCCTCCTCCACTGGATCTTCCCAACCCAGGGATAGAACCCAGGTCTCTTTTGTCTCCTGCTTTGGCAGGCAGATTATTTTTTCCACCAGGACTACGTGGGAAGCCCACATGGCTCTCCACTGGCTGTATTACCTCCATTTTACAAATAAAGGACTGAGGC